GAAGGGCTAAAATAGATTATATCAAATGTGGTGAGCGATGAGATTGGGCCTTGAGACACATACTAAGGAGTATACATTTTATTGAGAACCTACTTAAGTTGAAACTCCTGAGTTGGCCTGAATTTTATAAAGTTCTTATTGTGTTATAAAGAATGAACTGGAGAGAAGCATGTTTCCATAATACAGGTGATTCAGGCTTGGACCTAGAGTGGTGCTAGTGGAACTAAAGGTAAGTGGATTGATTTGAGACATATTTAAAAATTAAGACTTAATTATTTGTTGATATTAAAGGGTAACAGAAAAAAAGTAATCAAGAATGACATCAAAGTTTCCAACATGAGTAAGTAAAAGGACAGTAGTGCCACTTATTGGCTGATTGGTTGTAGTTTATCATGTTAATTATTATTATTTTTTCTGGGTTCAATAAAACTCAAGCTGTCTTTTGCCAAGCATGATTTTCTCTCATTCTAAAAATCATTTGTGTTTTGAGAGAAATTTAACCTACGTGTTTTTTATTTAAATTTAAATAATCAAAATGGTGTTTTTTACAAGTTAGTTGATGTCAAAGAAGCTTTCTGAGCCTTTTAAAGAGAATTTTAGTCTACAAACAAGAAACAATGATTTGCCAAGTGTAAATCCATTTCTTTTTTCTTTTTTTTTTTAAGATAGAAAGAAAAAAAGAAAGAAAGAAAGAAAAAAAGAATGAAGAAGAGGAAGGAAGAGGAAGATGGAGAGAGAACGGAAGTGTTGATTTATTGCCCAGGCTAGAATGCAGTCTAAAAATGGGTATTGAAAGCCTCCTTTATACCAATAATTGTGCTTAATAATGGAGACAGGAAAAAAATGAGGGAAGAAAATAACAAACAAGCAGCCAACCAATATTTCATTTAAGCCTGTAAGTAGGTGTGATATGATGCTATAAGAGTGTGTATTTTGTGTATTTAAAGTGGATAGTTCTATAAATGTTTATTAAGTTTACTCGTTCCGGATCTGAGTTCGAGTCCTGGATATCCTTGTTAATTTTCTGTCTCGCTGATCTGTTTAAAATTGATGTTGAAGTCTCCCACTATTGTTGTGTGGGAGTCTAAGTCTCTTTATAAGTCTTATGTATTTGGGTGTTCCTATATTGGGTGCGTATGTATTTAGGATCGTTAGCTTTTCTTGTTGCATTGATCCTTTTACTGTTATGTAATGTCCTTCTTTGCCTCTTTTGATCTTTGTTGCTTTAAAGTCTGTTTTATCAGAGGCAAGAATTGCAACTCCTGCTTTTTATTTATTTATTTTTGCTTTCCATTTGGTTGGTAAATCTCCATCCCTTTGTTTTGAGTCTTTATGTATCCTTGCATGTGAAATGCGTCTGGATGCAGCATACCAATGGGTTTTGACTGTGTCTTTTGATTGGGGGATTTAGTCGATTTAAATTTAGGATTAATAATATATGTGAATTTAATACTGCCATTTCATGTTGTTTATTTATTTATTTTTTTGAAAAAAAAGAAAGAAAGAAAAAAAAGAATAATTAAAAAAAAAAAAAGAATGAAGGAGAGGAAGAGGGAGGAAGAGGAAGAGAGAGAGAGAACTGCAGTGTTGCTTTATTGCCCAGGCTAGAATGCAGTTTAAAAATGGGTATGCCAATAATTGTGCTTAAGAATGGAGACATGAAAAAAATGAGGGAAGAAAATAACAAACAAGCAGCCAACCAATATTTCATTTAAACCTGTAAGTAGGTGTGATGTGGTACTGATGAGTGTATATTTTCTGTATTTAAAGTGGATAGTTCTATAAATGTTTATTAAGTTTACTCGTTCCGGATCTGAGTTCAAGTCCTGGATATCCTTGTTAATTTTCTGTCTCGTTGATCTGTTTAATATTGATGTTGAAGTCTCCCACTATTATTGTGTGGGAGTCTAAGTCTCTTTATAAGTCTTGTGTATCTGGGTATTCCTGTATTGGGTGTGTATATATTTAGGATCGTTAGCTTTTCTTGTTGCATTTATCCTTTTATTATGTTAATTATATCTCAGTAAAACTGTTTTTAGAAAGCAAAAAGAAGATTCTGTCAGACAGTAATAAGGGCCATGATAGTGACAGAGCAGACAAAGTGATTGACAGTGCCTTGCAATAGGTGATATGTGGTGGATACCATTATGTAGGTTATTGTTACATGGGCATCTTTGATGAAGTGAAACATAAATTTTGATCTTAATAACAAAAAAGTCAGTTTTATAAAATTTCAGGAATGTTTTTCCCAAGTCAAGGAAGCACCTAGTGAAAACTTTTGGTGACAGGAGGAAACCTGATTTTTGTAAACACACACAAAAAATCAATATGGCTAAAGCTCTAGCCTTGGAGTAAATGGGATCAGAGATAAATGTAGTACATATGGGGCTATCTGGGTGTGGAGTGGTGCCATCTACTTAAATTTCAAAAAGAATCCTGGAAACACATAAATTTTATTTTAAAAGAACAAAAGACTAAAGAAACCCAAAACCCAGAGAACAAATTTAGAGATGATGATATCAGTTTGGGCACATTACTTATAGTACCTGTGGAGAAATCCAAGGGGAGCCACCCAGGAGGCTGTTTTATATATATGATCCAGTGTGATGGTTAATTTTATGTGTCAGTTTGATTGGGATACTCAGATAGCTGGTAAAACAGTGTTTCTGGAAGAATCGGTAGGCTGAGTAAAAAAGATCTGCTCTCACCAAGGTGAGCAGACATGATACAATCATAAACAACAAAGCAAGGGAAGCTCTCTTTACTTAACCTGGGACATCCATCTTCTCCAGCCCACAGACGTTGGAGTACCTGGTTTTCAGGCCTTTGGGCTGAATTGCATGATCAGTTTTCCTGGTTCTCCAGCTGGCAGACAGCATATCATATTTCTTGGCCTCCATAATAAATCTCCTCTTACATATCTATTTATATTTCTTTAGTTCCGTTTATCTGGAGAATCTAAATACACCCTAGAACTTGAGAGAAGGGTCCAGTCAGCACATAGATGTATTAATTGAAGACATGGGATGAAGTTGGCAGAAAGCATGCAGAGTGAAAATGAGCCTGGGCCAGAGCCCTAAGGGACTTAGCAAATTTCAGGAAGAGATAGAAAAGTCAATAAGGAGCATCCAGAGCCAAAGAAGACTAACAAGGGAGAGGGTGTATCATAGAAGCCAAGGGAGGAGACAGGAAACACCCAATTTAACAAGGCCATCTCAGATAGCATTGACTGCTATGTAGAGAAATCAAGCAGGTTAACCAGGAAACTAAGACAGCTGGGTGGGAAGAGCACATTGTTTTTTCTTTTAATGAAAGAATGAGGGCAGGCTTCACTGTTTGAATAGAAATGTGGACAGAAGGGAGAGTCAATTGGGCAAATATTGCAGTAGATAGTGTCAAATATTGCTGAGAAGCAAGGTAAGGGCTAAAAAGTGAGAGCTATTTTGTGTGATGGGAAAATATGCAGCAGTTAAAAATGTTTTTGAAAAATAATTGACTTGGAGAAATGTCTATAATTGCAAGTGAATGAAGCAGAAATTAATATATTCTAAATTTGAATAGTAATTTAATTGACCAGAAGGACATACAGTTTTTAGGGTCTCTCTGCATGGTGGGATCATAGGTGAAATGGTCTGGCTCTTTGTCCCCACCCAAATCTCATCTTGAATTGTAATCCAAATTGTAATCCCCATGTGTTGTGGGAAGAACCTCATGGGAGGTGATCAGACCATGGAGGCAGGTCCCCCATGCTGTTCTCATGATAGTGAGTTCTCCTGAGATCTGATGGTTTTATAAGGGGCTTTTCCCCTCTTCACTCTGCACTTTCTCTCTTCTGCCACCTAATGAAGGACATGTTTGCTTTCCCTTCTGCCATAATTGTGTAAGTTTCCTGAGGCCTTCCCAGCCATGCAGAACTGTGAGTCAAATAAACCTCTTTTCCTTAGAAATTACCTGCTCGGGTATTTCTTTATAGCAGCATGAAAACAGATAACATATATCATCATCTATATACTTTTCAAAATTTCTGCATGTTTATAAAAGTAAAATAGCTTTTTCTTTTAATGTAATTTATGTTTAAAAAAACATAAAGAAGTAATATCCAAAAAGCTGCCACCCAGATATAAATACTATTAATGTTTTGGCTACTTCCAAATATTTTTTCTACACATCTCTGGATAGCATTTATTGAGCATTCACAATGTATAATGCACTGTGCTGAGAAGGCTTGTAGATGTGTAAGATTTTATGATCTAATACTATGCTGCTATTGACCTGAGATACTGCATTTCTAACAAGTTCCCAGGCAAGGCTGATGCTGTTTTTCTGAAGGCCATACTTTTCAATAAAAATGTTGTACATGAAAAGATTGTTATATGGAGGTCTGCGAAGGGAAAAACAATGCAGGGAGGGGAGAGAAAAAAGGAAACTTAAGCTTTTCTCTCCTTGAGAATCAATTGTTGTCAGATGCTTAGAATCTGTTATGTTACATTAAAACTCAATTGGGAGAGATCTGTCACTAAGTAGTTAATTGTGGCCTAATAACATATTGAGGATGAATCCACTATGAAGGCAAACTACTTCCTCATTTGAAAGGTAGCAAAATTGAAAAACTTTAGTTACTGAGTTTTTCCTATGTGCATATTCATTCTTCACCTAATGTTTTAATTCCTCTTTTTTGCCTTTTCTACATACATCCCATAGCATGTAAAGTATAATTATCTTCATGGTTGTAATTCCTAAATCATCAGTATTTGTTGTAATTTCCTCTTGGACCCAAAGTTTATTTAAGAACATTAAAAAAATTCCAAGTATGTGGTTCTTCAGGGTTAAAAATTATTTTCTAGGCTTTTTTTTTTTTTTTTTGTAATGTCATGAGTGCTCTCTAGAAATTTATTAAAGTTTTCTCTATATCTTAATATAAAATCATTTAGAAATGCTTCAGGATAATTTGAAAAGAATGCAAAAACAAGGTGGAAAAGTAATATATATTACACACACACATTTTAACTACTTATCTTTTATCTCTTAACTTTCCATTTACTTGATTTATCAAAGGCTGTAAATATGCTGGGTTGGTGGCTCACATTTGTAATCTCAGCACTTTGGGAGGCTGAGGCAGGAGGATCACTTGAGCCTAGGAGTTGGAGGCTTCAGTGAGCTATGATGTTACCACTGCATTCCAGCCTACAGAGCAAAACCCTCTTGTCTCTAAAAAAAGAAATCATAAATATTGAAGTCATAGTACAACATAATTTTTGCTATATTCTTTAACAATACATACAGAAGGATTACAAAATAAATTTTAGGTACATAAAATGCACTAATTTAAAGGTACATGTTTTTAAATACATGTATGTCAATGTACATAAGTAAAACTATCACCCACATCAAGATATGAAACCCGTATTTTACATATTGTCATATTAATTACCATATAGTTTGTTAAATGTTACATCCTGTATGTTTTACATAAAATGTCTTATGTTTAGATTTTGTTTAACAAAATGTTGCAATTTCTGACTTATAGTTTCCATTACCTTAAACTCTTTGATCCTTTGTTTTATACAAAAGTATCTCAGGTTAGAGATTGACTTTTGACCCAATTTCAATTGTAATAGAGCTATTTAACCAGTTTATAAGTCATCTGTATTCTGTCATCTACTTTGTGCTAATTTTAATGTCTTTTTGCTATTATCTTTTTGCTATTTATTTTACCACCTCCTTTCCAACCCAAAACGTTGTAATGTATCTATTCTATTTCAATGTCAAATTTACATAGATGAACTACTATACGATGCAGTAATTACTGTTTTTCCCCATGCAACATGTACATAAAATGAGGATTTATGCCCCACTCCCAAACCAGTGATTTGGAAGTTTCTTTACAATATCAGTAGTAACATTATGGACAAACTTGCTATTTTTTTTTTCCTGCTATACTTAAAAGTAAGGGAAATGAAACTGTACTGTTTTCGAATTTTGTCAGATTTGAAATTTAGAATGCTGTTACTTGTCCAATCTACAGTGACAAAGCCCTTTTACTTAGATTTAGCTTAAGAACATGCATATTTTTATCTACGATACTATATGCTAAATATAAAACAGTATTTATCTGTCCAATATATTGAACGTGTGGCATGCCTTTCCACAGTTTAAATCTAAACTGACATTTTAGACCCTGCTTCCGTTTCTATTTTTGTATTTAATTTTAATGCCCTATACATAACAATTCTTAGTTTTAATGCATACCATTAATTCTTGCGTACCATTAATTCTTTCATACAATTGCCACTCTATTCTTATTTTAATTCAGGTTCTCTGTTAGCTGCAGTAAATCATTCAGCAAAATTTTCAGGGAAGGTTCTTGGTTGTTATACTTTCCTAACCTCTGTATATCTAAGAATGTCTTCCAGTTTCCTTTGTAAATAAATGATAACTTGCAGGGTATATAATTCTTGGCTCAAAATTATTTTCCCTTAAAACTCTGTAGATATTGTTACATTGTCTTCTGGCATTTAGAATTGCAAGAGAAAAATCTGAGGTCAGCCTGACTTTTGCCCCTTTGTAGGTAACCTGCTTTCTCTGTCCAGATGCTTGTAAATTTTTCTCTTTATCTTTAAGAAATGTCATCAGGATATGTCTAGCTGTTGCGTTCTTTTTATAAAAATTTAAAGGTACCCTGTGAGCGTTTTCCATTTGTAGATCTAGTTCGTTCTTCAATTCTGGAAAATTTTTTTCAATTAGATCCTTAATAATTGTTTCAGCTCTACTTGCTCTGTCCCCAGTTTCAGGTATTATTATGCGTAGATTGTATCTCCTTGACCAGCCCTCTAGATCTTTTTCTCCTCTTAATTTCTGTTCCTCTTTTCTCCGTATTCGATGACAATCTGTCTTGTTTTACACTTACTTCAGTAATTCGATTTTGTGGCCAATTCAGCCTGCGCCCTTTTAACTCTCTCAACTTCCTGGTATTTTCCAAGCGTTTTGACAGTACCCTCTTTATCATCGCGCATAGGTTTTTAAGCCTCTGCATCTATGAGTCTCAATCCTTCCTATATCTTCTATTTCCAAATCTACATCCGTTTCAACAGGAGGCATTTTTTCGATTACTTAGCGCTGTTCCTTTCTTCTGAGGGGCAGTATTACGACTTTGGAAACAAACAGAATTTGATTCTACACGGCCCAAAACAGCCCAAAGATTCCCATTGATAATTATCGACGGATTTATTAAAACGCTTTATTTTTCTTTCTCACCTTTTCAGTTACCTTTCTTAGCAACTGGGACCAAAGTCAAAGATTAAAGGAGGTCTTCTGAAGCATGGCATAAAATAGACGTTGAAAACGATTCCTGTTACGTCATCTCTAACGCGCCTCACTGTCACGGCTAAGAGCCTGGCGCGTAGCTTTATGGCAGAAGGGGCTCTAGCGCTCTAGTTAAATCGGAGGCTGCAAATGCCGCTTTACCGCTCGCAGACTGGTTCCGCCCCTGCCGCCCCGCCCATCACGGCGGAGTCACGGTAGTGCGCACGCGCAGCACCTCATTCCGTTTTCTCCTGTTCGTAGTGGCTCGGCTTAGATTCGATGCCGCCTTGAAGGCGGGGCTGGGACCCAGCAGTAGCCAATGGAGCCCCGGGTGAAGGTTGAGGGGTGGAAGGCGACTAGTAGCCGGTGGTGCAGGTTTCTCCCAGAGTGTGTGCTGGGGTACCTGGTCGTCATGGAGGCGGTCTTGACCGAAGAGCTTGATGAGGAAGAGCAGCTGGTGAGAAGGCATCGCAAAGAGAAGAAGGAATTGCAGGGTGAGGGGGAAGGAAGTGGGAATCTGGAAGCCGCCCCTACCCGGGGAAGGGCGCGTGGCGGTTCGGTGCTGGGGAATCTTAAGGCATGACTGATCTGGATCACCTTAGACTTCCCCTAGTAGCAAGTGGCCTCTTCTCTCCCGCCTTCCCCGCCCCGTCGGCTCTTTAATTCCCCAGACTTCAGAGGCTTCCCCTTCTGAGGCCTGCCGCTTGCCCCCTACCCTGGGCCGCCGCCTTGGTGCCAGTGTCTGAAAATACCTTGAAACCGAGATCTTGGACCCAGACTTGTCCCCTCTCAAACCCTCTATGCCTCCCTTTTCTATACCTGCCCCAGTTACCGATATTTGGCTCTAATGGTTGTATTTTGAATGGCCTCGCCTCAGTTTAGGTGGCCTAAAAAGGATACCTGAAAGATTTAAAACTTGCTACAGTCAGGTTTTTTTCCTCCTCTTATCTCACGAAACAACTGAAACATAGTAAAGATTATGTTAATGAAGTTTGTGTGTGTGTGTCTCAGCTTCATCAGGCCGCTTCTCTCTCTATAGCTGTCTGTTATGTGATGGCTCTTGCTTCCATAATTACTTTTTCTCTACCTTTCTCCACTTACCATCCCCTTATTGATTCCCGTTTTTCATCTCTTTTTACTCTTGGGTGTCTGACTTAACGATTTTGATGGCTTTTCAGCCAAAATTCAGGGTATGAAGAATGCTGTTCCCAAGAATGACAAGAAAAGGAGGAAGCAACTCACTGAAGATGTGGCTAAGTTGGAAAAAGAAATGGAACAGAAGCATAGAGAAGAACTGGAGCAATTGAAGCTGACTATTAAGGAGAATAAGGTATGTGAAATGTTTGTCGTTGCCTACACCATTTGAAAACAGCTGTGCACTTCTGTTAAACTGCTTATTATCTAAAATCATGAAGTTGGTAGGGAAATGAAATCACTTAGTTATGCTTATGCATCACTTCTCATTAAGATTTTTGTGACCGCCGGGCGCGGTGGCTCAAGCCTGTAATCCCAGCACTTTGGGAGGCCGAGGCGGGTGGATCACGACGTCAAGAGATCGAGACCATCCTGGTCAACATGGTGAAACCCCGTCTCTACTAAAAATACAAAAAATTAGCTGGGCATGGTGGTGCGTGCCTGTAATCCCAGCTACTCAGGAGGCTGAGGCAGGAGAATTGCCTGAACCCAGGAGGCGGAGGTTGCGGTGAGCCAAGATCGCGCCATTGCACTCCAGCCTGGGTAACATGAGTGAAACTCCGTCTCAAAAAAAAAAAAAGATTTTTGTGACCAGGTTCACAGGGCAGTGTGTTTTTATAAGGGAGATGAACCAAGAAAGTGCTGTACTTCTTTTACCTATTTACTTGCCTAGAAGATGAAGTTGGCACCAAATGAAAGTTGGAAGACCATACATCTGATCCCAGAATTGCAACTGAGTGGGACTGTAGCCTGAGCAATGTTGCTTAATCTTTCTGAGCTCAATTTTCCCACACATATAATACAAATATTTCTGCTGTCTAAGCACAGGTTTTTGTAAGAATTAAGAAAATGAACGTGAAGTCATTTTTAAATTATAAAAGTGCTTTATAAACAAGTTTTAATTGAAATTTTACTGCTGTTTCTTGTGTAAGTTGGAGCATCCTTTCATCATTTTAACTAATATTTATTTTATCGTTGGAACTAATATATATGTGCCAAACATGTTGTTTTATATGTATTATCTCATTAAACCTCAGTAACATAATGTGAGGTATTACCTGTGAGGTAAGTGTAAATAATCCCATTTTTCAAGTAGGAAAGAGGCTTAAAGATATTAAGAACTTTGTCCAGAAGTCATAACAGCTGTTAATTGCCAAAACCAGCATTCCAAATGAGAACTATCTTACTCCAGGAAGTGAATACTGAATTCTGTCATAGCTTTGTGTAGTGTGGTATTCATTGTATAGGTTTTGGATATAAAGGGCCATATAGACTCCACAGCCTCACTCCATCTATGATAGTTAGAAAGTTCTTATGTCTATGCAAAATCTTATCTGCCATACTTAAATTTTATTTGGTTCATTTTGGTTTGCCTTTGACAAGTACAGCTTGTCTTTGCTAATTTACAATGGTCTTTACATTAAATATAGTCTAAATTTCCCAACTTTCTTTGCCCTTAATATACTTCATCTCTAGGTAACAAGGCATGATACTCCAGGTGTTAAATTGTGTCATGACAGTTGTGGTGTTCCTAATTGTCTTCCAATCTTTTCTATTGGTGAGATAATTTTGTTTGCTTTCGCAGACCTTTCAGTTTTAAGGTTTCTTTCCCAGGTTTCCAAGGACAAAAATGTTTGATTCGTAAGCTACGTGGGGTCCTACTGTTAAAACACAAACTCCCATTCTACTTTGAACTGTTTATCTTTTTCATTAACTTAAATTGGTTTTTTTTTTCTGAATACTACCAAAACTCATGCCATAGCTTTTTTGTTTTTCAGTTGCATCTCTGTTATCTTGCCTATTGTCAATATAGTTGTTTGTAAATTTTAGCAGATTCCTCTGAAGAATCACAAGATTCCTAATTTGACTAAAGCTGATAACCATTTTTTGAAGTCTCTATCTGATTTTAATATTTTGATCATTCGTGATATAGCCTTTGGAGACTCTGTCTCTGTGTATTAAAGGCCTTGAGTTGTTCTATGTATGTGTTATACTAAAAACTAGTTTAACTTAGTAATATTAGCTACTCATCTTTATAGTTAAAAGTCCAACATCTTTATTTTACTCTAGCAAACACATACTAGTGATTTGAGTATTAGGATTGCTTATAATATCAAATGATATTATAAATTAAATATATTTTCTGCCTGCAGTTATCAGCTTGTAGATGGAAAAGGGTAGGGTAGGATAAGCTCAATACTAGGATCAAGGATTAGTACTCATCAAGTTCTGGCTAATTAAGATGGAAAAGGGCTTCTCCTGCCACATTGAGGTTATGCATGTAAATAATGAACTGAGCCAGCATGGGACCTTTATCTTATATATACTATCAGTAGTCAGAGAAAAGAAGAGTAGAGTGCTGAATGAGTTGGCACTTACAGGAAGTACAGTATTGCATTGAGATTAATGGAGTAGGCATTCTAAGAAAGAAGGAAGGCATGCAGGGATGATCATGATCTTTGAATGGTTGTAAGGAAACTTCTTGGGAACTTGTCAAATTTTTCCATAAAAATAGAGACAGGAGACAAAACCATGTTACCTAAAACAGTGTCTACTGCTGTTCAAATTTGAAATGCGGGATTAGATATATTTATGATTTTCAATAATTTAAAAAGTATTTTTCATTGACTTGTTAATGCTTTTTGTTTCCTTCAGATAGATTCTGTTGCTGTTAACATTTCAAACTTGGTACTTGAGAATCAGCCACCTCGGATATCAAAAGCACAAAAGAGACGGGTATGAAAGTCATGTCACCAAGTTTATAAGTTAGTGCTGTGTGTTCAGTACTATCTTAGGTACTATCTTTAGTCTTGTTATAGGAAGAAAATGAAAAAAAAAAAAAAAAAGATGCAGTTGCTTGTCAACAGACTTGAACTAACACTTATTAAGCACCTGCTGTGTGTCACATACTATGCTAAGCTGCTTATATGAAATCTCAGTTAGTCCTGACAATAATCTTGTGAAGTAGGATCTTTTATCCCATTTTATGGAGAAGAAAATGGTCCTAAGAGAATATAAAATAACATATTCAGGATGCAGTTCTCATAGGAAAGTGAAGCTGGGAATGAGAGTAGTTTATATTATCCCAGATTTAAAAATTCAGAATGTGGGCCAAGATGATATGATGTACAACCCTGGCTAAGAACTATACCATTGGGTGAGAAATAAAGATTTGAACCTAGAAGTTAACACATGTGGGTACACAAAATTCTTAGAGAATTGTGTAGGTATCTATATAATGATTAATTATGAAAATTTAGAGAAGGGAATGTTCAAAATAATGGGTTGGAATTTGAAAGAAATATTATTTAGATAGGATATTCCAGATAGGAGAAACAGCATGCACAAAACAAATGTGAGGATAATATATTGCATTATTGAGGAGCTATATGGAAACTGATTTATTGGAAGTAGCCAGTTCATATCAGCATTATGGAAATGAGATTAGATAGGTAAGTCCCTTGAATTTGAAAAAAAAAAAAATTAATAAATTCAGTCTTTTTAGTCATGAGTGTTATTTTATTAGCACTCGATGTTTTCTATTGTTTAAATGCATAATTTTAAACTAGTTTTGCATCTTATGACATAGTATGTAATTTAGTAGAGCATGGAGTTTAGTGTCAAACAGATGAGGTTTTAATTTCATTTACTATTATACTTTGGGTAAGGTTCTTCTTTAAGCCTCAGTTTCACATCTATAAAATGGGGGCAAGTGATAGCTACTTCATAAGGTACTTCATTTTGAATATTAAATAATGTATTATTTCCAAAGCCCTTAACACAGGCCTGGAGAATTAATGAGTCAACAAATGATAGTATTGTTTACTATGTTAAGTAGTGCATAGTATGCCTCTTAAAAAATTAAACCTAAAAACAATGTCTTTTTTTGTTTGAAAGTTGATGAAATGCTCATAGTCAAACATTTCTCATTGTTGTATAAAATTTTATTCTTGAGTAAATATAATTCTGATTTTTGTAGATTCATAAATTTTAGATCTCATGGAATCTTAGAGATTGTTTGCTTATGATATGCACTTTTGTGATGCTCTCACAATTGTCATCTAGCTTCTATAGATTAAAAAGGAAGGGCGGAATTTTTGCATGCCAGTAGCATAACAACACCGACTTAGTAATTGATAACATCTTACAATAGCCTAACTAATTCTGGAAAACATAAGGGCACAAGTTCTTCCTGTCTTTATCAAAACTTGTTCCCCCACAGCTGGATCTCTGACAACAAAACAAACAGAGTGAAAACTCCCTTGCCTTTCTCAAAAATTTTGTTACTTTTCCCCTAAATTATTGCACAACTGAAAATGTACCTTTGTCAGCTATCCTCTTAAAACATTTAGTATCTTTTATAGTCAGCTGCTTTAATACTTGGCAGAAAAAATGTCCAAGTCATGCTTTTACATTGTTATGTTAATGGAATTTTAGAACAGAAAACATTAAACATTTATAACATTTGAGAAAATGGAACCTGAGGAGAGGATGCACAATCAGGTGTTAGATAATTTGGTACCTCCTGTTTTGCAGAAGCACCAAGGAATGAAAAGTCAGTTAATTTATGATGTTTATCTTTGGGAAAGATACAACTCTCGAAGAAAAACATAAAACTTTATACAGATTTACTGTAAGAATATTGTGGAATATTTTAGAGCATATCTCTTATTTTTAGTCTGGAAAAACATAGTATTTTATTTAATTCAAAAAACTTAGAAGGTTTTTGATAAGATAGAAAGAGTCTAAAATAGACCTTAGAAGTGCTGGTTTCTAAAAATATGAAATTTGAGAACTGGAATGAGATTGAGTTCTTTATTTTACAAATGAGAAAGCAGATATCCAGGTTATCGCAATAGTACACTAAAACTTTGATACAAACCTAGGACTGGTGTCCAGCTCTTGATATTCTCTTTGAGTTGTCTTTGCTATATTACTATATCAACATGATTCTAGTTTTATCTACTATATATTTATGATTTACTTGCTGTTATCACCTTTTATACATTTTCATTAGAACTTACTGGTATGATTCTATCTCCAGTACTATAGCTGTAGAAACCAAAGTCTTAGTGGTTTTGGGAAACTATGCATTGCTGGAAAAAGAATCCAGTGAATTTCTTATCTAGTGCTCTGAAAAGGAAACTCAGTTGTTTTGTTCTACTGAAGCAAAGCATGAAGGGAAAAAATGAAATGATTAGAATTCATATTTTAGAGGCTTAAACAGTTTTACAGATAGGATAAAGTGCCACTCTTCCAGTAAATAGTACATGACATCATTAACTCCAGCTCCCATCTGCTCCAACTTTTATTCTGATTCAGGTGCCTGGATAGAAGGAGCTCTCTGTGTTGTCCTTGGTCCCTGCTCTGCTCTTACCAGCTGTGTGGCCTTTGGAAATCTTTCTGCGTGCTGTTTCCTCAGAAGAGGAAAATGAGGGGTTTTGGATTAGATGATATCTAAGGTGCTTATTCTTCCTCTCCCCTCTGAAACTTTTTTAGTCTTTTATAAAGTAATAGTGCCATCTTGTGTTTTAAGATTTTATGCCTCTGTGATCCACAGTTCTAGGTATGTAGTGAAATAAATTTGTTCCTGTTACTTATATTACAGAGTTGGGAGGTAAAACCTTGAATAGGCTATGTTTTATTAGGGAGATGTTGCTGGTTTTGATTCAGGTAGCTTATAAATCACTTTAGGTTCATCTAGCATGGCACATAACAGGCAAGTAGTACAAGTATATGACAATAAGTTTAATTGAAACTTGCCTTCCCATTCACTTTTGTTTCAAGGAGGAATTAGAGCTAGAGGTATGGAAGCCTTTACCTTTTTCTAGTCTTGGCTTACCAAATCCTTCACTGAAGCTTATTACTAATATCAAGATTTATGTAACTTAGTTTGTTTTTATTCTTAAATTATAAAGCAGTTTCCCTTTGAGTGTACAAACAAAATATATGGTAGAGAATTAGAAAGATGCAGAAAAACATACAGACATACACACACACACCCCCCCCCCCAAATAAAATTTATTTTGGAATCCCGTCATCCAGAGAAAAGATCTGTATTTTGCATATATTCTAGTTTCTTTTTAGTACTATGTTAAGTGTAGACTTACTGCATACTAACTATATGCCTATCTTTTTTGCCTCCGATTTCATCTCTTGACACTTTTTTTCTGGCACTCTAGCTCTATGAACTGTTTTTAGCTACGAAACATATAGTGCTTTCTGGCTTTTGATCATTACTAGTCCATCTGTCAGGAATTTTTTCACTTCCTTCTTCCCCAGTCTTCCCTCCACACCTCCAGTCTATTCTTTATGTCACAGATCTCTCATTGCCTTCACCCCACTCCATCCTAGCATATGTTTCCATGGTAGGAGCTCTTCAGACATTTGAGTAAGGAAAGCAAATTGCAGAATGTGACATATGATACCATTTTTATTAAAAATTTGCACGTTTCAAGAGTATACTATATTTATGAAAATGAATAGAAAAGCAATCTAGAAGGATACATACCAAACCTAGACCAAGCACTGGGATGGCAGTGGTTTTAGGGGGAACTTTATCTGTTATATTTTATTTTATTTTTTGTAAAATATTTGTTAATTAAATGTATGCATATACATACATTTTAAAATGCTAGATAAAAATAGTGTCTGCCTGTACCCTTCTAAAGGCTGTGTCATCTTAACATGTTACTGGTGGAGTGATAAGAAGGCTGGATTAGCCTGGGCTTTAATATAATAACAATGTGCTTGAAGGCCTAGGATAGCTCAGTCTTAAGATAATACTTTGAAATCAGTAAGTAAAGTTTTTAGAAACTTGGCATGTAGTTTTTAAATAGACTTCAAAGAAAAACTAGAGGGCTCTCTTAATGTCCAGTATAGAGCAAGGTGTAGGAAACACACAGATGAGTAAGATAGCAGGCCCTTACAGGAGCTCACCTTGTAGAAAATTCTTTAAACAATGAGATGATCCATGTGATAGTGCTTGTGGGAGAAGGGAGAAAGACACCAAAAAGTTTTGAGACCTTTACATCTCCATTCCCTTAATAAATGGGAATTAGTCTTAATCATTATGAATTAACTTTCCTGCATTCTCCTTTTCTTAGGAAAAGAAAGCTGCATTGGAAAAGGAGCGAGAAGAACGGATAGCTGAAGCTGAAATTGAAAACTTAACAGGAGCCAGACACATGGAAAGTGAAAAACTTGCTCACATATTGGCAGCTAGACAGTTAGAAATTAAACAGATTCCATCTGATGGCCACTGTATGTATAGAGCCATTGAAGATCAACTGAAGGAAAAGGATTGTGCTCTGACTGTGATTGCCTTAAGAAGTCAGACCGCTGAGTATATGCAAAGCCATGTGGATGACTTTCTGCCATTTTTAACAAACCCTAATACAGGAGATATGTATACTCCAGGTAATTTATTTTTCTTTACTACTTTTCATTGTTGCTGTTGTTGTTTTTAAATAAAGTGCTTCCTAGCACGGAGCGTAAGAAGAGCCCATATGATTCTTAGGAAAAACATCACAAGATTTAGGCAGAATTATTTTATGTACTTTAATAGATGTTGGTATATTTTTCTTTATTAAGATTTTTTAATTAGTTATTTTGTAATTAGAATATGTTAATCATTTTATGTAAGATAAAATAGGAATAAGATTAATCATTTTTGAAAAGTAAGTTTATATTTGATGAAGTTAAGTATTGAGGAAGATAAGCTTGAAGAAGTATATATACGGTCTGAAGACCATAAGGAGAGAATGACTAGGAAAACTATTTCCTCCTTTTATCCTATACTTTGGGAATTTTACTTTTACTCTCAATAAGCTATAATTACGAAGATTAGTATTCAAGTAAAATTTGATTTTGCAAAACCAAAACAAATGAATTAATAACCTGCTTTGTTATGTATAGTACTTTCCACAGTTAAAATATTTATGATGAAGTAAAAAGTATACAACTAGCAGATGAGGAAGAGAGCAAGTAAAAATCTGAACAGGTTTTGGAGGAGTAAAGAATGGAATAAAGGACTGTTAGTCCTTGAGAGAAGGTGGCAGGTTTGGCAGTGTCCATTGGGAGCAAGTCATATGGCCAAAATGGGTTGGAGAGAGAAAGGTTAAGGCTGACTTTCCTTTAGTGGAGTCTGCCCTCCGTGGAGGGAAGGTAGAGAGTGATGCAGAATGGATAAGAATGAGCATTGGCAATCAAGTATGTCTCCTTTAGTGTGTATGGCCTGTAGTATCTGTTGATAGATCTCAAGAATGACTTAGGCATATTTAATTCTGTAGCAAATTAATTTCCCATAGATGGCATATTGGAAATGTTAGCTTATCTCTTGCTGTTTTAGGTCATTGCTGTTTTCTAATTAAACAGAACTTGCTGTGGGACATAAAACTCATTTTTCCATGTATCTTGATATATGCTGAGGCAATGTGATAAATGACTTTTCCGTCATTAATCTCCCAAATGATTACCAAATCATTGAAACCCCCCAATTGCACTAGTTGTAGGGCATAGAGAAGGTGGCAGTTCAGTATGCTGAGTCAGAGAAAAACACCAAAGACTTAATTATCTTCATTTATCCAACCAATATTAACTGAAGGCCACTGCACAGCACTATCCTAGGCACTGTTCTGAACACTGAAGATTTAACAGGGAATGAGACAAACACGAGACATATTTTTCTTTTAGATGTCCATAATTTCTTTCCCTCTATCTTTGTGGGAAGGATAATTGTTTACCATTTTAACATGCTACATAAAAAGGTGTATTCACAAAATATACCCATTGTAAATTTAGTGACTAGGTCTTTTACTTCTCAGGGTTGATCTGAAAAGCCCTTTCCTTAGCTAGAACTGATATTTATGCAAATAATGTAAGTGCTTCCAAAATAACAAGTGGAGGCACTGTTTGATGCTGTCTCTGGGGAAGGAATTTCAACTAATCTGTACTTTTACTCAGATTTTCTTCGTACATTTTCCAGAGTCTTACAGTGAACCTGATTATACAGGGACTACATTTTTTTTTTTTTTTTTGGTCTTACATGTATTCCTTTGGATGCAGGTTTGGGCTTCATAACACAGGTCAAGATAGTGAATATGGTGGCAATTTTGGGAGTCATCGCTTGGAGTAGAGTGAGGTAGGCTTGTTAGGTAGAGAAGGTATCTGGGACTCTGACGGAAGAAATAAAGCAGGAATGAACTGCTTTATTCTTGGATGAAAATGTGGTAGAAAGTTGGGGTGAATTAAATTTGGATTTGGGAGGTGGATTAGATTATGGGGGATACTGGTAAAGAAGGAGAATGTTCATAACTTGGGCATTTTTGTCAGAAATTGTGGGAACTCTAAAAGGGATCTTGTAACGTAAGTTACAAAAAATTATTAAATGCTGTATTCTGACCTGTTCTCTACAGAAGAGTTTCAGAAGTACTGTGATGATATTGTAAACACAGCTGCATGGGGAGGTCAGCTTGAGGTAAGTTTGTAGTTACGCATAGTGATTGTGGGTTGTTAAATTATTTCTGAATCCCCTCTGTAGTTTTAAGATGTTTCTCAGCTGATCCCAATTTCTCTTTGAAGATTCGTTTTTTTATATATTTGCTATTCTCAACTGAAAAAGAAATAGGTAGTTAACATCATTAGGTCTGTGATTAAAGTATGTGGATTGAAGCACTATTTCATTTTAAAAAGCTCAGTGTTAGATCTATTTGTTGGAGATACATCTGTGTAAGTCTTTTCATTGCGATGCTGCTACTGGCAATGCATTTGATTTTCTGCACTTAGGAAAGTGAAGATTTTACTGAAGTAAAGTAAAATTTACCATAGTAGCTCAACTGATCAAAGTCACTATTGGAAAAATATATTTTTTACATCAGAAGTGAAAAAGATATTTTTATATGAAATTATAGCCCAAATCATACCACAGCATATGTATTAAAATTGTGTTTTCAATTCCTAATCAATTGTGACTGACTTACTTGAAAGTAGTAGTTGATGCATTAAATTCATACGTAAGAAAACAGCATGTTCAGTCACTTATAGAAAGTTACCAAGATTTCTTTTTAGCTCTAATTTTAAAAAATCTTACTGTTAACTTTGTTTTGTTAAAATAAAACAGTTAAGTAGACCAGATGGTGATGAAGCAGCCTGGGTATTAGACAGGATAAGAAGTAAAGTCCTAGGTTCAGATCCTGGCATTTCCTTCCACCTCTCTGTTTTGTGGCCACAGGGGTGTCAGCCATCCTGCCAAGCTTAAGTTTCTTGATTACTGTATGGCCATAATAAACCCTCTCTGTGTACTCAGTTGAGCATTTTTGAACATTAAGTAAGGCAGAGAGTACCTGCATAAAAGTTTGTAAGCTGAAGTGCCAGATGGATGAACCTACATGGTGCAATTAGTAATATATAATGAAGATTTAATTATCATGAATAGTCTGTGGCTCTAAATAATTCACTTTAAGAACTGCTTCATTTGAAGATGTGACATGAATGTTGCCCCCAAATCTTTTTCTTAGAAGTGCTGTGTATGTGCATCTCCACCAGAGGGAACTCTATCCATTAGCTTTATATGCCTCTGAAACTCAGAAGTTTTCATAGTAGCTTTGTTACTACATTAGGAATAGTTAAAAATGCTTGAACTTTCTTATAACGATCACTCATATGAGTATTAGAGATTAAATCAACTCTATTTGAACTAAGAAAAGCCTTTTAAAACATCTTTTGAAGGATAATTACTCATACAGTTTTTTCATCTCTGAATTAATTTGAAGTAAAAGTTGCAGTTTTCACAATAGGGTACATTTAAGTTATTAAAGAGAAAATCATTCTATGATTCCTGAAGTTAGAAGGGATGGTGGGATTTCCAGAGTTTGGTCTATGCTAGTTTCTTAAAAATGTTATATTAGATATAAGAAAAATGTGCTTCAAAGGAACATTTTTGATTTGCTACCATGCAGCAGAGCCCTTTCCATATTTTTAAAGTAATTTCTTACATTCTTCAAAACCTCAGGAAGGGCTATGTTCATTGATGGAATGTTCCTGTAATGGGGCAAGTACATATCCCATAGTGCTCCATAGATCAGGGCATTATGATTTTTCTCTTCTTTTTGAGACAGAGTCTCACTCTGTCGCCCAGGCTGGAGTGCAGTGATGCTATTGATAATTGCTCCATGTAGTCTCAATCTCCCAGGCTTAAGTGATCCTCCCACTCCTGAGTAGCTGGGACTACAGGCATGCACCATTATGCCTGGCTACTTTTTGTGTTTTTTGTAGAAACAGAGTCTCATTGTGTTGCTCAGGCTGGCCTAAAATGCTTGAGCTCAAGTGAGCTTAGGGCACCTTAGCCCCCTGAAGTGCTGGGATTACAGGCATGAGCCACCACCACCAGCTGACACTATGATTGAAAACTGTTAATGATTAATTTGTTTATGAACTTGGGCTCTAGAATCAAAGTTCTTCAGGTCTGTGCAGGCCATTTAATTTGCTAATGCTTGACTTTGACAAGTCTCATAACCCTTTTTTGCCTCAGGTGCTAAGTCTTTAAAATAATAGTACCTATTCCATAAAGTTATTGAGAGGATTAAAGGAATTAATACACATAAAGTACTTAAAGTACTTGAGTGCTTTGTCATAATGTCTTTTTTTTT